GAGGTGCGTGCCTGCGAGGTCCTACCCGGCAGCAGCAGTGCTCAGTCTGGCAGCGATTGACGGGCTCCCTCGAGGGACAGGGCATGACAGAGGCTCCCCGCCAACCGTCAGCAAGACAGCGAGTCCTGCTCTGTGAACCCCCTCCTGCAGGAGGAGTGGAGGGGTGAGCGCACATGGGGCAGGACGCAGGTCCCAGCAGGCGGCCCCGGGACGTGCTCAGGCCCACCACCCTCCCTCTTTTCTCCTCTTTCTGTTATTAAGGGAAGTGTGGTGACCCCCTGTGTCCAATGGTGTGGCCCATCTCCCCGTCCGCCCCTCACTCCCAGACATCTCATCATTTCTTCACACGCACCTGGAACACTTCAGTGTACGGCTCTGATGTGATCCGTGTGTTTTATACCACACACACACACACACGCAGTTCACACAAATAAAAGCACACATGACTACAGCGGAGCAGCTTTTTCTAAGTAACAGAATATCGTCATTGATTGTGTTATTTGGAAGCCGGACCATGAGCTCTTCTTGGCTAAAAGTGTGGCAGAAAAGTTTCGTCAGCAGAGCTGGGTGACGTACTCCCCTGACTCTGGGCAGCGCTGACTTGACTCCTTGGGAAGGAGCCTCTGAGGCTGCACCGCGGAGGCCGGCCTCCGAAAGTCAGACGACGACTGGGCGTCGCACGGGCTCCCACCATCAACTTCCTCCACGTCCTCGGCTCCGAGGGAAGATCCAGCTTCGAGAAAACCACCGAGCGGACGTGGCCCTGTAGCCACGCTGGCTCTTCCCCTCCAGGACCGCTCAGACGGCCACGGGGAAACCCGCCCTATCCAAGCGGGGGAGCACCCTGGGGCCCACGGGCGGGGCTGCACAAAGGCTGAGGCGCTGCGCCCACCGCAGACGACGGACAGGGAGCACGAGGGGCCACCAAAGCCCACCGACCTGGTACTGACCTGGGCTCCAGCCCACGAGCGTGGCAGGACCCTGTGTAGGTCAGTTCCTCTCGGGGCCTTGGTCTTCCCACCTGCAAAGCGGAGCTGCCGAAGCATCCCCGGGAGCTGGGAGGCGCTCTGACGAGGCTGCCGGGCCGCACGGAGCCCCAGCTGTCTGCTCTGGCCAGGGGTCTGTTATCCCCTGGACCCCGGCCTCTCTAAACCGGGCCTGGTGGCCACCGGGAATCCCACTCAAGTGCAGGAAATCACTCCGTAAAGACTGTGGCACAAGGCCAGCCATCGGGGCCCCTTCCCAGGTCCCGCGGGCACCGCGGGCGACCTCGCCCACGACTACCCGCTCGCCCTGCACCCTCGTGTGGTGCAGAGAATAAGCAGGCTCAGCGCCTGTTTCTCTTGGACACAAGAGCCGACGTGGCTGAACAGCCGGGGCCGCGACGAACCTCAGTTAAGCACATCGTGGGTTAACCTACAATCCCCGCAACGATCCGCGCTGCTGCTGCTGGGGGAGGCGCCCAGGTGCGGAGCCCCCACGTGCCCGTGCTCCCCCTGCATGCGCGTGCCCCGTAGCGGGGGTGGGGACGTGCCCTCGTCTCCCCACCCGCGGCTGGAGCGGCCGTGCGAGAGCCGGGGCAGCTGAGCTGGCGAGGGCTGCAGAGCAGCGGCAGCGCGGGGCAGTGCGCCGCCGGAATCGGAGTGGGCAGCGGGGCCCGTGCGGCGCGTCCGTAGGGTGGCGTCCTCGCCACAGCCGCCGGCTCGGACATGGAAGAGACCGTGGGTCGGTGGTCCCTCGCACATGGAGGCCAGGATGAGAAGACGGCCACGGGGCAGGGGAGGGCAGGCTGCTGTTGGGCGAGCGTCGGGACACCTGAGAGCCGGAGGGGCCGCCCTATTGCCTAGCCGGCTGCTGTCAGGCAGCCGCCCAGGGGCTCTCGGGAGGGGCCACATTTTCCAGACCTAAGAAGCACCACGAAGGCCGTGCCAGGGCTGCTAGGTGTGCGGGGCGCTCGTCGGCCTCAGGCTAGACGGAGCACCGGGACCAGGCCTCAGCCTCGGTGGCCCTCCTCCAGGCTGGCCCAGCCGCACCCCTGCCGACTGCCGGCGTCCCTGGTGCTCGCCGTCGGGGACCAGAGCCCCGGCTCACGGCCTGCCTCGCGCCGGCCTGGGGCTCCTGGAGGGCGGGCCCCGTCAGCGTGCTGACCTCTCAGAGCCACTGGTCTCCCCCAGGCCAGGAAAGGCGCAGCTCGGGCAGGGCTGACACCGGGTGCCGCTCCACTGCCCTCCTGGAGTCTGGGTGGTCCCCGTGCCAGGCCCTGCACGCTGAGGGCAGGGACCCTGTCACACACCCACCCCGGGCACCTCTCACATTAATAATGGGGAGGATCTGCTTCCACGGAGGACAGAAGAGGTCCCGCAGAGGCCGAGTAGGGTGGGATTTAGAAAGGAGGGGGAGGCAGTGAGGCAACTGCGCTGACAAGGCTGACGACCCAGGACGACCACACAGAAACCACGGGCCCAGCTGTCAACTGACGTCCGCCCCCCAGCCCCTCCAGGGTGGGACTCAGGTTCTCACCAGACCCTCACGCTTCCTTACCAAAGTCAACTACCGGGGCCTGAGCAACACGACTTATAGTAACAGAGCCACAGAGACATCAAAACACATAACCTCACTACAAGAACTAATAAGGGAACTTTAAACGTTCCTTGCCCTTGACCCACGTTTCACATAGAATCACATTTCCTCGTAGGTGTGAAACTCCTAAAAAGGTGCATCTCCTAAACGTGCAGAACTCCTAAAAAGAAAGACCCACCTGCCTTGTCGGTGAGGGCAGCCGTCACCCTCCCCGCCCCTGAGGGAAGGACCAAGTGCGGCCCACGCAGCAGGTGACCCTCGAGTCCCTGACCAGCAGTCCAGAGTCCCCCGCGTGGGATCGACTGCCGCTCGAGGACAACCGGGGAAGACGAGTCTCAAGACTGGTGAGCAGTCTCCATCCACGGAGAGTCATGTCCATGACCCCAGCAGAGCACGGGCCGGAGTCTCTGCTGCACAGTGTGGCGCACAGTTAGGGCACCAGCCTTGTGAACACGGCACGTGCAGCTACAAAGGTAGAGGCCTGGGGCCTGGGAGCACCTGACTGCTCCTTGGGGGCCTCAACCAGAGAGCAGGGGAGGCCGACTCCTCGCGGTTTTCAAGTCAACACCAGACGATGCAGTTGGAAACCCAGGAACCAGGACCAGCTTCCCACACCTCCCACCCCCAGGACGGTACAGCTGTCCCTGCAGACACCTGGGTCTTGCCCAGGAGTTGGCCTGAACTCTGGGAGCAGCTAGCAGCAGGCCACAGAGCTGGGGCCCCACGGAGCGTGTTTACATTCCCCAGCTAGGGAACGCTGATCTGGGCTCAGATGGAGGGTGGGTCCTCTTTGAAGATCCCCCGACACACACAGACTCTGCCATTCTCCCTGGCCGGGGCCTGCTTGGTGGAGGAAGTCTTTCTCTGCAGATAAGGCAATGGGGTGACCCGAGGGCTGAGGGGCTGGGACGGGGCTGAACGCCTGCTTTTCCCAGTTACGATCAGCAGCTCACCAGGCGTGGGCACCCGTGGGCAGACCTTGTTGAGCCTGGCATTCCGGGGACTCTGACCAGGAATTCTGGGGTCCTAGGCCTTTCAAAAAAGTAGACAACAACACGTCTTAGGCAGATCGCTAGGACGACGCAAAGTCCCAAGCCCTGATGGAGAAAGCAGAGACCACCTGAGGGCAAATTCTGGCTCCACTCTGCTGCATGACCCCGGCACGCTGCGTAAGTTTTCTGAACCTCAGTACAATTTAAAATGAGCAGGGCGCCGTGCTCCCTTGATGGTAAGGCGCATTTCCTCACTTTGACGACCCTAAGAGCAGCACGCTTCTTACAGCAGACAGCGTCCGACTGTTTTCTTGTAGCGGTCCATAACGTTTTGGCGTGCGCAGCGCGCACGGAGTCTCCGACTTGATGAAACATGGCGCACATACCTTGAAAGGCTGCTCTGAGGGCCCAGAACAGAAGCTGGCACACAGCCCGTAGTCCCTCGCTGCTGGATGTCAGTGCCGGCTGACTGACGGGACTAGCCCTTCCCACGGCTGGATGCCTGCCTGCTGCCACAAAGACCTGGTGTTGGCATGGCGAGCAAGTTACGGTAATGACAACGGGGCCAAGGGGAGGGTGGGGGCCCCAGGGGTCTGTACATGACCCTGACAGAGAGCGAGAGGCAGTCTGGTCCCCCAGCTGACCCCCAACTTCCCTCTCCGATCCCTTGGTCAGGAAGCTGTCCTGTCAAGCAGGATGGCCCAAGGTGGAGCCCTGAGCCCAGCCGGCAGGACCATGACACCCAGGGCCAGCCTTGGTTACTATTCCCATCATTCCTGTTCCGTCCACCCCTGGTCACACAGCACACGTGGATTTTCAGAAATGTTCTTAGCTCTGGAGCCAGATCGCGTTGCCAGGAGCACTATTACAGCACAAGCCTTAGAGCAGAGAAAACGACCTTGTTCTGTAACTTTCCCAACACCCAATTAGAACAGCAGCTACGGAATTAATGAGGCTGCAAACAGTGCACTGTCTCTTTAAATGGTTTTCCTGCGGCCAGTTGTTTACAAAGAAATTCCTCAGGCCAGGAAGTAGGAGGTGAACCTGGAGCCAGCAACCACACTTGGGGAAGAGGAGCAGGTGCGCCTGGCAGGCCCCGATTACAACCTCCGAGGGCGGGGTGTCCGTCCCCTGCGGATTAGAGCGCGTTCTGACTCAGCAATCTGGCCCGCCCAGGACCTCGGCCGGCCACCGGCGCGCCCCCGGGGGCGGGGCGGACTCCCGGGGCGGGGCGGGGCGGGGCGGGAGCGGCGCGGTCACGTGTGTACACAGGCCCGCGCGGCGTGCGCGCCGTCAGCCCCGCCGCCTCTCTCGGAGCCCCGAGCTGCCCCCCTCGCGGCGACTGCGCGGTCCGCGGCCCAGCGAGCCGGTGAGTGGGCGCCGAACGCGGGGCGGGGGCGGATGGGCACACTCGGGGTCTCGGCCCGCGCGGCAGTAGCACGGGAAGCAGCGGCCCGGGGCCGGTGCTCCGCTCTGAGCTCTGACTTTCGGGTCCCCTCGGCCCCGCCCGGGCACTGTCCCCCGGCGGGTGGGAGCGCTGTCCCCGCCTGTGGCTGCCCTCCAGCCGTGCAGAGCCCAGCCGGCCGGGGCCGCTGCCCTGCGGTCATTCACCTGTCCGGGGCAGCTGAGAGCTGCTGGCCGCGTAGGAGGCTCAGCAACACCGCCGGCTCCTCACATGTCCTGCCGGGGACCGACCGCCTGCTCCTGGGTCACCGTGGTTGTAACTTTCGTCCCCTTTTATGATTACAAAATCTTAGGAACTTCTGGAGCAACGTTTAAATGGAAATATCAAGTGTCGTTAATGGTCTAGGACACTTGATAAAAAGATAAAAACCCCTGGGCATAAGGCTCCTTCAAAACTTGAGAAGAAGGCAGTGCCCCAGCCTCTGAGCGCCCATCTACCCAGGACCAGAAACCCAACACCAAGTTAATGACATGAACACGGTAGCCGGGTTCATGGTCTCAGTGGGGCCCTGGTCTCAGTGTCGCAGTCTGTCCGGGCTTTGGGGAGACAGAGGGTGCGTCTGGACCTGACAGACTGTTCCCCCATCGCTGGATGTGCGCTCACTTGGCAGCTCCAGGCCACCTGCCGACAACCAGCTCCCCGTGCCTCTGCGAGCAGCGGCCCCCTCCTCCCCGCTCTGTTTGCAGCATCTAGCGGGGCTGGCCTTCAGTCACCCGGGGGCGAGCAGCCTGCTTTCCAGGCCTCTGCAGACGTGAAAGTGTGAACACGAAGACTCTGACCATGCTCCAGGCCGCCCACGCGTAAGGGGGACCAGACGCTAACACTACCGTCGCAACTGGCTCCCCACCAGGGCGCCACTGAGAGGGAAAAGAGGCCCTATTGAAAATTATGCTGAGGGGACGGCCACACACTCCATGACCCGCTGCAGGGTCCAGCTCCCCACACCGGAACCTCTAGTATCTTCCTAAATGAAGAAGTCCTCTCTAAGATAACAGGCTTTGAAAAACCATAGCTTCATCTGGTGAGTGTGTACTGTGCCGAGTCACGGAGAGGAAGCTGGGGGGGGCCCTGCCCTTGACCACTGCTGTCCTGCCTCCCTGGGGGGTAGGGAAACACCCTGAGACGAGCACAGCATTAGTTCTGCACTGACTTGGGGTCCCTGGAACTCAGAAGCCCCTGGCAGGCAGGTGACGGGAGAAAGGCACGCAGAGCCGCCGGATGTGGGCGTGTGGGGTTTTAGGTTAGAACGGAGAGCTGCTTATACCTATTATATAACGAAAAAGTGACATGCTTGCAAAGATCCCTGCCAGGAAGCACGCGTGCATGATTGCCGGTGGGAAGACGGACCGGCCGCTTTCCGGGGCGGGGAGGGGAAGGTGCTCCTTGGGCAAGCTGCATCCATCCTCCAGGCCCTAGCATGTCATCTGGACCCTGAAAATACAACCTGCCGCCGGCAGGTTGCACCCCAGGGCTTGTCTGGGGTGAGGGCTGCTGTGCTCTGCGCAGGACACACCCAGACTGCTCCCTCCTTCGGCAGAGCGCCCAGCTACCTCCCCCTGCTCGCCGCCGGCTCCTCAGCGCTCTATGGCTCAAGCCTCTTGCACGACTGGGCCACACCAGGCTGCGTCTGTCCACGGGGTCTCACAGGCCCGGGACCCCAGAACACCAGCCAGGCATCAAAGAGCAGAAGGGACTCAGTGTAGGGAGGAAAAGCAAACTTTCTAATTTGAGAAGCTAGAACGTGATGCTGCCAAGGGGCCGAGTTCGGCCCCCAAGACCTGCCAACAGAACACCCCTTGAGTAGCGGAGGGACAGGGGGGCACGGGCCGCCTGTCCCATGCGACCCCGCGGGTCCCCTTCCTCCCACACACGTGGTGGGAGGGCGGAGCGCACCTAGGAGGTTTCCAGTTTTAATGAGAACCGAGGAAGGCTATTACACCAAGTGTAATGGGCGTTCCTCCCCTGGAAAGAACCACGGGCAGCGATAAGATCTGTGGCTCCGAGCACCCCCCAGGTAAGAGCACACCAGGGAGAGGCAGGGCGGGGTGGGGGAGCCCAGCAGGGTGCCGGGCTGCGGAGCCTGAGCGGAGGCCCGGTCTGTTCTCCGTGTGGCCATTGAATTTCTGAGCGAGTCTTCCTGCTTCTGTTTTCCCCTGGTTGAGATTACCTGGAAGGAGCACTAGCCTCAAACCAAGGTAGTCAGTGGACAAGAAAAAGGCAAGAAACCAGAGCTCCACAAACAAGAGAACACGTGTCCCATATTCTCCCAGGGTGAAGAGCCTGGGAGCCCGGGCGGGCGTCCCGGGCCGTTGGTTCCTGCAGCCCTTCCCGAGTGGCGGACGTGCCGTTCTCTCCCACGGAGAGCCAGAGGCAGCTCGGTTTATGCCTGAGGCAGGCTGCCTGGTTCACACTCACCACTCTTCGGTTCAGAACCTTAAAAAGCAACAGGCTACAAAAATCAGGACACCCCATCTACATGATGGACCGTTTCTTATCACAGCCAGGAAGGCGCAGCGTCTGTGACAGGAATCAGAGGCGTAAGCTCTCTACATTGAAGACCTATGAAAACATCAGCCTTTCCGGAGCGTCTGGCTCCTACCAGCTGCACGTTAATTGTAGCTAGAGCCTCTATCCACTGTTACAAAAGGAAATAAACATTCAGGAGTCGTTTTCAAAGCATTTTGAGGGCTCCAGAGCATTCAGCTGAAGTCTAGGTATTACCGTGCGCGCGGGTCTCCAGGACTAAAGCCAGGCCGAGCCGCACTGCCCAGGCACTTTGGGGAAAAGCCTGTGACACCATCTCAGGCCTCCTCTTCCCGGACACAGCCAGCCAGGCTGCAGGGCACGGATCAAGGAATGCTCCCCCTTCAGGGAGCTCTCGGCAGGTGGGAACAGACGAGTGCAGTGGGACAAGTTCAGCGACCTCGGACGGGAGTTAGCTGGTTCTGCGGGCTGTGTGCGTGCACACGCTCACACTCGTGCATGCGCACACGCTCACTCAGGACCCCCTGCCCACCACAGCCGCCCGCTCCCCGCCCCCTGCCAGGTTGCTGCTCTGACGTGCTCCTGGCATCCTCCAATTTCCACAGAGATCACCGTGCACTGTAGCCCTGAATTTGAGCAAGGTTTTTAGTTACCTGTGGACATTCACTTTTGAAGGGTTGGTTTATACCGTTCTGGGTTCTTTTTAAAAAAAAAAAAAAATCATGGAAGAAAGACGCTGACATCGGGCCTCAAAACACTTCCAGCAGCTAGCCCAACTGACGTGCAGTCCTTGCCAGCAGAGAATGAAAGAAGGGACGGCGGAGCATCTGTAAGCAGGGGTGCCACTGGGGTGGAGACCAGCCCCGTGGGGCTGGGACCCCAGCTCAGCGAGCGCAGCCCCAGAGACTCGCCGCCTGTGTTGTTACCGAGGCCCTAGTGGGGTCCCAGGGACCCTGAGCTGTGATGTGGGGTCTGATGGGGCCCGCAGCCTCTCCCCGTGAGAACTCGCACTCAGCCTGTGCCCGCGCTCAAGCCCTCTGTCCTCTCTCCGCCAGCTTCCTCTCCCCACGTGCCAGTTGGCAGAGAGTCTGAGTGAGAGTTCACGCAGCAGCTTCCTCTGCAGTAACGGACCGTGGAGGAGGATGAGGAACTGCAGCCCACTGCGCACGCCGGGGGCTGGCCAGGCTCATCCGCTGACCGCACGTACTCCGCCCTCGCGACAACCTCCTGACCCAGGGACCAAAGCCAGGCAGCTGTGAGCAGGGTGCCCAGGGAGCCCGGTCCTCAGCCACGTGGAGTCCCGGTCTCGGCCCCTCGGCCCAGTTCACAGGCCACTGCTCGGTTCCCTCGCAGCCCTCGGGCAAGAGCTCTCAGCAGGCAGTGTGGGTCCCTCCGAGGGGAGGACTGAGTCAGGCCGGGGGCGCACCCGAGCTGCCTTCTCTAAGTATAAAAGCAGGGCCCTCGGTGCAGCAGGGCTTGGACGTGCGCCCCGTGGCCCCAGGTCCCCAGGTGGGCACCGCTTCACAGCTGCCCCGGCTGTTCCGCTCCATTGACCAGGCCTGTGGCCAGTCCCCCGCCAGGGCCCCGCAGTCACCGATCATTGGGGGGGAGCTGCTGCCTCACTGCGCTGCCCCCACGCCCTGGACACCGCGGCCCCTCCTGGGCTTCAGGGCTTCCTGGGCCGCTGAGCAGAGGCTGGCCTGTCAGCTCACTTTCCCTGAGGCCCAGCCACGCCCACCTAGAGCGGGCCTCCACACTAAGCCCGCAAGACCCTCTCGGCCCACATGTGACTCCAGTACCCACCCAGGCCACAGGGCCATCCGACGGCCTCCTGGGTGCCAGAGAGAGCGGCAGACATCCTGGAAGTGCCTGCTCAGGGCCCAGAGCAGAGCAGGGACCATCTTCTCCAGAATTGAAGACAGCAGGAGAGCTGCCCTGGGGTGCTCGGCCAGCGCCGCACACTCTGCGCTCACGTCAGCATGCACCTTGGAGCCCGGCGGCCGTGGGTTTTCCTCTCGTGGTGTCTCCGCTCCTCCCCGCCCGAGCCTGGAGCAGACAGCTCTTCAGTGCCATGCCGACGACCCCGCCAAAGAGCCTCCCGCCCAGCACAGCCGGGGGAGCTCCCACCCGAGGGGCACACAGCGTGACCACGGGGTGGCTGAGCCTTCCCGGGGCTGGAAGTTGGAGAGTCTGGGAGAACGTCTTCTTGAAAGATAATTATTGGAACCCAGAGAGGGTCTTGGAAGAAAACTATCAGTACTTCTGTGCACGGGAACATCTGTGATGAATGACACTCACTCCAGTTGAGGGTCAAGGAAGAGAGGGGGCTCTAGAGACAGCTGAGTCCTCAGAAACGGGTGCGGTGGGACAGAACCCCGAAACGGCTCCGTGCCCTGGGCCTCCCGTGGAGACAAAACCACTACTTCCACGTCCGGCAGCCCCGAGCAGGGCTCGCCCTGCCTGCCCCGTTGGAGGTGGCCGCCCTATCACCATGCCCTTCCGATGGGCTAGCTTGAGGTCAGTGGCAGTGCCGCTGCCCAGGTACCACAGGTGGATGCCAGCTTGTCTGACCGTGAACCTCTGGCCTTGGGGCCTCAGCCTGGTTCACTCCAGAGGGCAAGGCCACTGGGGCCCGAGAGGGGACCCTCTGTGCTGTGGCAGTGGTGACCTCGGCTGTGTTCCCTTGAAGGCTTCCCTCAGCCCGCGGTGCCGCACACGCAGCAGGTGGGCAGGGAGGCCTGAGAGCGTCCCCATCACACTCAGAAAGCAGCAGCCCCAGCAGGCCACGCGCAGGCCAGCTCGTTGATCGGGCCCAACGCCGCCCGACTTCCTGGTCCTCTCAGATTCTCTGAAAAAAGCATGATTTTTGAGCTCCAGCCTCTCCTGAGGCTACCCTCTTGTGCCATGCATGCAGCCAAGCCTGCAGAGAAAGACCCTGAGCAGGTGCTTCAGTGTCAGGGGCAACGTTCTGAGCCAGCTGAGCCCCCCGCCCACAGAGATGACCTCCACCCTGGAGTCTCAGGCCGGCGGTGCCCTCCCGCGGGCGAGGTACTCTCTGCTCTGCCAGGCTGGCCACCCTCCTCTCTCCTCTCCACTGCTGGCCCCAAGCCTGGAACCACCCTGGCCCGAAGCTAAAGACCTCTCCATCCCCTCGAACAAGACTGGCCAGACGCCCACCGCACAGCAGCCACGCCGGGACCAGGCAGGGGAGCGGACGCGGTGAAAGCCGCCGTGCTGGCAGGGCCGAGGCTGCTGCTTCAGGAGCATGATCAGAAACAAGACAGCGGGGATGCAAGTCACCTTTAGATCAGTGATCAATCCCCTTATAGGAGAAACAGGATAAAGCTGTAACGGGACCACCGCGGACAGCCCGAGGCGCATGCCAGGCCCAGCCTGCGGAGCTGCTTTCCGCTTCTCTGCCGGGCCAGGACACTGGTGCCGACCAGCCCGCTCCCCCGGCCCAGGGCCACACGCCGGCCGAGCAGATGATCAGGGCTCGGCGGTCCTCCCACTGACATCGCTGTGATCCCCGAGGCAACACGCCTGCACGCGTCAGGCGCAGCCCTGCTCTGTGGACCGAGGCTGGTTGCAGCCCTGGCTCGGCACGCCTGCCGCAGAAGAGAGGCAACCGCGCACACACCTGTATGTTCCCTGGGCCCAGCGGAGGGAAGTCAGGCAGGGTCCCTGGGAGGAGGCCAGGATCCCAACCAGGCAGAAGAGAGGTTCGGGCATGGAACCGGGACCCAGCCGGGCTGGCAGGAGTGGGAGTCCGCGGAGGGCCCCTGGGTGCAGTCCCGTGGGAGGACAGGAGGTCGGGGCCACTCCTGGTGTCTCGTCTGACGAAGGGGCTGTGGACGAGACCTGGTGTGGGCGCTGCAACTGGGTGCTGGTGCCGGAGGAGGCATGGGGGAGATTTGGAGAGTGGAGGCACAGCGAAAGCATGAGAGGAAGGTGGCCACCCCGGCCAGCGAGTCTGGAGGTGGGCCCGGAGGAGGCGAGGCGGGAGGGCAGCCGGACAGGACAGAGCCGGGAGGACAGGACAGCCGGGAGGACAGGACAGAGCTGGGAGGACGGGGCAGAGCTGGCAGGCCCGGGAGCATCGAGGGGCCCAGCGGGCAGCAGCGCGGGCAGCTCTGACCAGGAGGTGTCAGGTAGGCCCCAAGGACAGGGCGACAGGACCAGCCTGTTCCTAAGGCCAGCCTGGACAAGAGGCCACTGGGGTCCTTGCTTGCGCTGACCCCTGGAGCTGAGAGGACTGCAGCAGGTGACGGGCCGTCAGAAGTTGGATTATTAATCCTGCCACTTGGGGAGAATGTGGCAGCTTTCAGAATGAAAAGCGCCAAACGCTCCACATTCGGCACCACCAGGGACAGCCCACCGAGACACCGGGGAGAAGGAGCCCAGCCACTCAGGGCCTACCTGGCCTCTTCTCTCCTGCCTCTGGGAGGGGCAGGACCACAGAGAGGGCCCTTCCTGGAATCCTGGTCTCTGCGCTGGCAGCCGTTCCAGTTCCTCTTTCTCGGGAAGGGAGTGAACAGAGCTGGTAACTGGAAAGACAGCCCAGCCCAGCCCAGCCCTGTGGAGGGGGTGAGCCAAGCCATTGTTCTCAGGCCCCCTCCTCACAGGGCCTGGGGGTGCGGGGGTGGGGAGGAGGGTCTTGTTCCCAGATTCCTGCACTTGCAAAACCAGAGCACAAAGGGAAGTGGGGGGACCGCAGGCGGCGAGGGGGGGAGGCAGGGCCAGTCTGCAGCCAGCAGGGCAGGGCACCCTGCAGGAGTAGCACCGGGACCTGGACAGGGCAGGACGGCCGCCCCCACCACCGTCCTCGGGATACCTGGCTGGGCTTTGAGCGGGCCTGACCGGCTGCCCTGCCACCGGGGCGGGCAGTCACTTCCCAACACGACCGCTGCTCTCCCGCCAGGCTCACTGCCGCTCGGCAGGTCTGGGGGTGTCACAGTGCCACGTGCCAAGCGTCCCCAAATGAGATCCCCCAGCTCCCCTGCAAGCCCACAGGCACCGCCCGCGCAGTCTTGAGCCGGGTGGCCCCCCACCCACGGCCTGCAAGTGTCCCAGTGACACGTCCCCTCGGTGCCAGCGGTGTCACTCGTCTGCTTCCTTCCCTTCTTCTCACTCTGCGTGCCCACGCAGGTGAGGATGGGCCTCCCCACTTCAGAAAACGCCAGGCACCTTCCTCTGTGCATGGGGCGGCCCCCCCAGCAGGTGTCCCTGCCCTGGGCCCTCTGAATGACACCTGGAGACCAGGGGCCTCCAGGAAGAACGTAGGGACAAGAAGCAAAGATGGACGGAAAGCAAGTGCAAACTGGTACTTTGAGCTCGCGATCTGCACCTGCAATCAGAAGTGTCCTCACGGTTCATAACTAAGAGGACGCACACAGAGCTGCTTGTAGCTCATGGGGCAGGGTTTCTAAGTTCTGTGTTTATGAACTGCCGGAACACAAACTCGGGCAGGTTCTTAATCTAAAACCCGGCACTGACTCCTGAGACACTCACAGCCCCTCTCGGGTCGAGAGAGCCGGCCGTACGAGCACATGAGTGTGTGAAGGAAATTCTCAGTAGGCTGACTCCACGTGACCACCTCCCAAGAACGGAGCCATTTTTCAGCCAGGGCAGGGCCCCTGGCAGCAGCTCTGCCCCTCCTCCGACAGCGCTCCCCCTGCCCTCCTTGGCCGTGGCCCACGAGCCCACAGGGCCCCCCTTCTGTCCTTGGTTTCCGAGAACCTCTGCTCAGTTGACTTCCCCTGGCTGAGCCCGCCCTCCACATGGATGGGGACCCCCAGGAGGGGCGGGGGCGCCAGCGGACCCGCCGTGGGGCCATGGGGGGAGCCAGAGGGCAGGGCTGCCCATCCCACACGCTGGTCCTTCCAGACACAACCCTCGCGCCTCAAACTGGCTGGAAACAGAGAGGGAAGAGCCGTTGCACCCGCCCTGGGAGGAGGGGCGTCACGAGAACCCACAGATGGACGCCCACGCATGCAGAGATGTGGCCCAGGCACCAGGAGACGTGGGGCCCGGAGTGAGGCAGGGCAGGCATGGCAGGAGAGAGAGAGTGTGTGGACGGCAGGAGGGTAGGGACTGAGGCCCAGGGGCCGCTGGACGCCCTGCGAGCCATGTGAGGCCGGAGTGGAGGGGGACCAGGCCGCAGGCTGGTCACAGCATGCACAGGCCGCTCTGGTGGACCGGCTCCCCGGCCCCCAGCCACTTTTCAGGCCGTGGCTCAGCAGGCAGGAGCCTGCAGGCATTTGGAACAGAGATGGGAGAGAGCGAGCCAGCACTGAGTCGGCAAGAAGAGGACGCAGAGGGCTCCGAGGACCCCACGAGGGCGTGTCACCTGCCTGGAGTGCCCGCCGGCTCCCCTGACCCCAGGGCTCTGGAGGGAGGACCCGTGTCCCTGCAGCGGCCGTGCCCCTCCCAGATGTGACGGAGCCGGCAGGAGGGCAGCAGCTCGGGACCTGCGTTACCCCGACCCGGCACGCCTCGGCCCAGACACAGGACGGCGGGGAGGGTGGAGCAGGGTGATCGCAGGATTCCGCGACTGATGTGGGAAACCAGGGATGCGCCGGCAGGGCTGCAGCTCCCACCGAGGGGGCTGGCGGGGCCGCGGGAGGCCAGGCCCCGGGTCCACCCCCTCCTCTCCAGGCTTTTGTCGCCGTGGCCCACCCAGTCACCACCCGTCACCAAAAGGTGACAGCAGGCACGTTACGGCTCCAAGAGCTGTACGTTTCCCTGGCAAACGGGGCCAGGGAGGCTCCCGCGGCCAGTAGGGTCCTCACAGCTTCCAGCCACGCCACCTTGCGACCACAGAAAACACGCATGCGGCAGTTTCTGGCCGTCCCAGCTGGTTCAGGGGGCAGGGAGGGGCCCAGGTCCGGTGGAGGGCAGGACTCACGCGCTGCTCTCCCCACAGCCCGCCATGTGGAGCTGCCCACTCAACGGCACGGGCGGCGAGGACCAGCTCCCCTGCCAGCACGTCCAGCGGGCCCTGTCTGTCCTCTCGCTGCTCTACCTGCTTGTCGGCGTCCCCCTCGGCCTCGGCTACAATGCCCTGCTGCTGCTGGTCAACCTGCACGACCCGGGCGGTATGACCATGCCCGACGTCTACTTCGCCAACATGGCCGCGGCTGGCCTGGTCCTCGGCGCCCTGGCGCCTGCGCACCTGCTGGGCCCCGGCGCTGCTGGCTGGGCCGTGTGGGACGCGGGCAGCGAGGTCCACGTCACGCTGCTGGTGCTGTTCAACGTGGCGGCGCTGGTGACCCTGTACTCCACGGCGCTGCTGGCCCTCGACTGCTACATCGAGCGGGCGCTGCCGCGCACCTACATGTCGAGCGTCTACAACACCAGGCACGTGTGCGGCTTCGTGTGGGGCGGTGCCCTGCTCACCGGCTTCTCCTCCCTGCTCTTCTACATCTGCGGCCATGTGGCTGCCAGGCTGGCCGAGTGCTCCCAGGTGCGGCACACGGAGGCGGCCGACGCCATCATGCTGCTCAGCGGGTACCTGGTGCCCGTCCTGGCCGTGCTGTACGCGCTCGTGCTCCTCACGCGGATCCGGAAGGAGGACACGCCACTCGACCGGGACGCGGGCCAGCCGGACCCCTCGGCGCACAGGCTGCTGGTGGCCACCGTGTGTGTGCAGTTCGGGCTCTGGACGCCCCACTACCTGACGCTCCTGGGGCGCACGGTCCTGGCTGCGCGGGGGAGGCCAGCGGACGGGCACCACCTGGGGGCGCTGCTCCTCGCCAAGGACCTGTCCAGGTTCCTGGCCTTCGCCAGCAGTGCTGTGGTGCCGCTTCTTTACCGCCACATGGACAGAAACTTCCCCGGCAAACTCCGGCGGCTGATGAAGAAGCTGCAACGTGGGCCCCAGAGCTGCTCCTTGGACGAAGCGGGGGCACAGCCGGCGATGGCGTAGACGCTGCTCCACGGGCCTCGGCCAACCGAGGGGCAGACGGCGCGTGGCAGAAGGCACAGCCCGCAGGGACCGGGTCCCCCGCGCCCGCTGCTTGCTCCCCCCCTCCCCGCGTCCAGGAGACTTGCTGGCCCTGCATCACCCGCTCCCTCCCTCCCTCTCCCCAGGAGACCAGGCAGAGCCAGGCGAGTCCCCCACAAGAAGCCACCCTCAGGCCGAGGCCGTGATGTCCGAGCAGCAGGTGCCAGGCGTGAGGATGAGCTGGGCCATCGGGGTACCTGGCCGCCCGCAGGGTGTGTGCTTGTCTCCTACGGGCGCCTTTCTGGTCCACGCCTGCAGCAGCCTGCTTCCCTCAGCCTCACGTCTGGCTTTCAAATGAGTGATGAGAATCTAACGCCACTATTTATACTTTGTATTGTTAAAATACTCCATCCCCCCTCCCTCTTGTTTTGTTGTGTATGAAGAGACGTTTGGTAGGAAAGTCAGAAGGTATTAAAATGAAGGAGACACACGGAAGCGCACTCGGGGGATGGGTGGGTGGTGGGCTCGCGGGGCCGGAGCTGCTGGCGACTTGCGTCCATGTGGACGTGGTGGGCGAAGAGTCCGGACGGGGCCTCTCCTGACCCTAGGTGTGCCCCCGGGTCACGTCCACTGTCGCTGGGCCTGCGTGGGTCTGTCCTAAACAAGTCCCCAAAGCGCACAGAAGTAAATAAACTGAAGGAAGAAAAGTGCTGTTAGGATTTCTAACCTGACCCGAAAGCCGATGGGACTGCCGACGGGAAAGAGGGATTTGGACAGGCGGGCGTCACTGGGGCCACAAGGGTGCTGCCTGCTCCCGGGACAGACAGACGAGACGGTACAGACCAGATGACCTGACCAGACGGGGCGGGGCGCAGAGGAGCCTCCCTTCCCCCACCCCAAGTCTTCATGAAGAAATTACTGCCCCACAACCCTCTGACCCTCAGTTCTGAAACCCCCAAACTCCCTAGAAACAAAGATTCGTTTTTCAAGTTCGCAGCAAAGGTACGAGGGTACCTTTCTGAGGAAAGATGAATGTGATGGTGGGCGCTGCCCCAGCCCCTGGGCTTCTGCCACATAAATACATGCATGTGCACTTCTGACCACCCAGCTGCCCCGAGGAGGAGGCTGGCTCTTTTCTGTGGCATCTACCGGGGAAATCGCCCCATTTGGTCCCAGTCTCTTGGGAAATTGAGCCCTGAGTGAGCTGCAGTGCTTTTCTACGTGCAGACTGTTTCCCCTCCCGGCTGAAGAGCCTGTGCAGAAAAGCACAGACACACACTGGATGCCGGGGATGGTCCCCACCCTGCCCGACGTGGCCCTGGGGATGGTTCTGGACAGTAAACCTCGGGGATGGGGAGGGAGGGACTGAAGAGGTGTCTGGGTGGCTCCGGTCGGTGACAAGAGCACAGCTGCCTCCAGGGCCCCGGGCTGTGGTGGGATTTGTCTTCAAATTCCCCATCCCCTCGGCTCCTCCAGCAGCTGCCCCAGCAGTGGGCTGTGCTGAGGGCGCCCCACAGGGTCCCGGCAGGTACGGCAGCCCCGTGGGAGCTGAGAATAAAAGCCCCCCCCCACACCCCGCTTCCCTTTCTGCTCTTTGCTCCCACGGCTCCTGGGAAAAGGTAAACCCCCAGCGCCCAGATCTCTGCCTGCAGTCCTGCACCGCTCAGCCCAGCTGGTCTTCCCCAAACAGGACGGGGGGCCTGAAATCACTTTATTTCTGATCAATTTCTCAGTGGCTTTGGTCGCAAGCTGTCTAGTCTCTGGGGGCCTCCTGGGTGGGGAGGCGTCAGACAGCAGCAGCCATGCGTTTCTGTCCCTCCCCTGTCCCGGCGTCCACCTCTACTGGTGACAGAGGGACATAGTGGGGTCTCAGCTGCAGGCCCCTCTGCTGCATCTCAGATCCCCCCCCAGGGCCCCCGCACCTCAGGGCACAAGCCCACCTTTGCCTCGGCCGCTGGTGCCACAACACAGAACCTACTTTCTGTGGACATTTGCTTGACGATCTCATGCTGAATTCACCTCGGTCACTTCCTGCTGTCCCAGTATGTTTGGTTTGATTCCCAGTACTCCTGCCACGTTGCCAAACGCTGCAGTGAACTTTTGAGCCCTTCTGATTTGGGGGCTCGGGGTGGTGTGGCCGTGGACTCGAGCCACTTAGAAGAGAAGGAGGAGCTACTTGGAAAAAGCCAAGGTGAAGGGTACACTCAGTCCTTTTCTTTTAATCTCTCTGTGTGTTTTAATTAATTTATTTATTTTGGCCGCACGGCATGTGGGATCTTAGTGCCCTGACCAGGGATTGAACCCATGCCCCCTGCAGTGGAAGCAGAATCCTAACCACTGGACCACCAGGGAAGTCCCCTCAATCCTGTTTTCTTAACTTACCAGTCCTATATTCTTCAAATGCATTTGCAAGATACCAGAAGTTTTCCAGCTTATGTTCTAAGGTCTGCTGACACTTCTTGACTATGATTTTAAAGTTAACGATCTTATTTTTGTCAGTAGACAAAAGGTCACCTACCTTACTTGCCATGCTCCATTATTTAAGATCCCAAAGGTGAGTTTAACCTTGAATTTATTTCATGAAGGTTATAAAATTTAGTGTAGGAAACGGGATCTTTTGCTAATTGTAGCAGATACATCAAGACATCAAACATTTGTTCCATTATAAAAAGCACCTGAGGGGCTTCCCTGGTGGCGCAGTGGTTAAGAATCCGCCTGCCAATGCAGGGGACATGGGTTTGAGACCTGGTCCGGGAAGATCCCACATGCCGTGGAGCAACTAAGCCCATGCGCCACAGCTACTGAGCCTGTGAGCCACAACTACTGAGGCTGCATGCCCTCAACTACTGAAGCCCGCGCGCCTAGAGCACGTGCTCTGCAACAAGAGAAGCCGCTGCAATGAGAAGGCCGCGCACAGCAACGAAGACCCAACGCAGCCAAAAATAAATAAATAAATACATTTTTTTTTTAAAAGGCACTTGACAAAGGATAAACCAGGAATCAGAAGTTAAACTACACATCAAGCTATTGAGTTTAAAGTCAGCTGGGAAATTTGGGGGCTTTGTCATTTCTAACGTGTTACGTCCGCCCAGATGGCCTGTGCCTGAGAAAGAGGAAACTGCTGAAGACGACTCACAGGCTTGAAGATCAAATTATTTGCTCGTTATCAGCCAACTTCTGAATTCTTCTGTGTGTATTTCCAGGGGTGTGTGACATGTCGGCAAGCAGCAGAAAGTATCACAGAAACAGGTTTTTCCTGTCGTGACTTAAACCCCAGCCTCTTCAGTTACTCCGTGGCTCCTCCGTCCTCCTCACAGCTGACCCTGCACCACGTGGGTCTGGACGCCCGCAGCCGTGGGGCCCGTAAGTCCTACGCGGGTCAGCTGCCGAGCCGTCCAAGGGCCCACGGTGCGTCCACGGGGCCAACGGAGGTCGGATCCCACATGCCTGCGTCACTGCGGGGCCAAAGCCGCGGTACAGACGGTGACAGAGCATCTCACTCCCGCTCTGCACGTCACGCACACAACCCTCCAAAGGGGACAGACACCCACTGGCCTCGCTCAGGGCTCCCGCGAGGCCAGGGCTCCTCGGAGGGCTGCTCACACGGCTGTGCCATCTGTCAGCACTCCTTGCCCTGGACACTGAGAACCCAGCGCTTCCTTCACGCCTGTGGGTTTCTCAGCTGTTCCATGGGGAGAGGGGGCAGGGCCACTGCAAAACCGCCCGCCCTCACCACCACGTGAGCCCACGAGGCAGGTCGCCGATGGACTGATGGACTGCGCTTCTAGGTTCTAAGCAGGACAACAGGCGGCTGGGTGACCGACTGCCAGCCTCCAAGCAGGCGTGTTCGCGGGGCGCCCTCCAGTGGCCGCCACGGCCCTTCACTCTCTGTGCAGGCGGGCCTGCGGGACTGGCCCCGGGCAGCTCCTAACAGCGTGAAGCGCTGACCCCAGACGAGGAGGCCCCATCCGCGTCCCGGAGTTTCCTTCAGAAGTCGGGCTGTGCAGATGCTCTGGCCCAGGAGCCTTGGGGCTCTCAGGACTCACAGCAAATCCTGCTTTTACAAGACACGCCCTCACAGCAGTGGAGGTGAGCTCAGTCCATGGCGTGCCGCTCCGCGTGCGCATGCACACGCACACGCACAGCCCCCGGCGGCACTGAGCCCATGGGGCCCGGCTTTTACGGGGGCAGCCCGACACTGGACTTCGTGCCGAATCTCTGACCTCCAGCAGTCGGGTCTCTAAGGCAGAGCACTGCACGCAGGGGCCGAGCCACAGCAGGAAGGTAAAGAGCGAGCAAAGCAGTCAGGGGATGTGGACGTGTAAGAAGTGCTGGAGCTTTTGTAGAAAAACTTTTTATCGAGAAAGAGGCAACAGCGACTGGTGCAACGGGAAGGGGCCTGCTTACGCTGGCCAGCTGCCAGCCCCGCGGGGACTGCCCGTCACCTGTGCACACAGGAAGTTTCCAGATCTACAGAGGGTCACACGAAGGGTCAGGGTTCCTTAGAGATTTGGCCTCGGGCATCTCTCTTCACCGGAAAGCAAGAAAGAGCTAGAAGACGAATGGGTCGTGTCAACAGGACCGGGAGCTCTCCCCTCAGCCTCGCTTGGGACTATCTGAGCGTAAAAACAACAGCGAGCGTGGAATTAAAAGTCTATGCAGGGCTTCCCCAGTGGCGCAGTGGTTGAGAGTCCGCCTGCCGATGCAGGGGGACACGGGTTTGTGCCCCAGTCTGGGAAGATCCCACATGCCGCGGAGCGGCTGGCTAGGCACGTGAGCCATGGTTGCTGAGCCTGCGCGTCCGGAGCCTGTGCTCCGCGACAGGAGAGGCCACAACAGTGAGAGGCCCGCGTACCGCAAAAAAAAAAAAAAAAAAAAAAAAAAAAAAAAAAGTCTATGCAGACACTCAGAGGGAAGGAGGGAGGAAGAAGAAGCAGCAGGAAGTCGCCACCTTGTGACCCAGGGCCACCAACCCAGGCAGGACCCGTGAGAGACCCGGGGTCCGTGTGCATACCATCAACCACGCTGCCGCACCTGGCCTCTCGGCCCCCGGTCTGTGTAGCACAGGGGACTTGAGCGGACATGTACGCAGCCAGGAAGGCCCTAAAAGGCCGAGTCCTGCCGGTGGGCACGAGGCAGGCAGCGACTGGCCGAGTGGAAAGGGCTAGAGAGCCATGTGGCCCGCCCGCCCCCTCCCACCAGCAGGCTGACACGAAGGGTGTGGGGGTGGTCACCACGTCTCATGCGCCTTCAGGGTTACAAGTCAGCGTGCTGAGACCCTTCAGAAGACGCAGCCCAAGACAGTTCCCAAGAGGTCAGCAAGCGAGTCAGATGGGACCACAGGGCAGCGTGGTGACAAGTGCTCGCAGGAGAGCCTGGCAGAGGCCGTGCCCTGTCCTGGCCAGCTGAGGACGCACAGAACCACTGGGGCGACCCTGACTGCACAGGTTCACACTCAGGACCCAAAAGCACCCATGACGGCAAATATTCAGAAGCACGCGTCCACAGAGGCCGTGGTTAGTAAGTGACGGTCACCGCGCTACCGGAGCTACGTACCCACTGAGATGTCTGCAGAACTGCGTAGGAGCACACAAAGCACCGAGGGGCTTGGCCGCACTCCCGCCGGACGTGGAGCCTGCTCCGTGTAGACACAGGACCACCCAAACCCCACCCAGAACCCCCACCACTGGGACGGGCT